ATATGTACGCATTTTTTACTCAGCAGTAAAAAACAATGACATCTTGAATTTTGCATGCAAATGGATGGAAATAGGAAAACACTATCCTGAGTGAGGTAACCCAGACCCAAAAAGATGAATATGGTATGTACTCACTCATAAGTGAATTCTAGCCATAAATAAAGGACATTGAGCCTATAATATGAGATCCTAGAGAAGGTAAGTAAGAAGGTAAACCCAAAGAAAAACATATAGCCATCCTCCTGATATTGGAAGAAGACAAGATTGCCAGGCAAAAATTGGAAACTTGGGAGTGGAGATGGAGTGGGGATAAGGGGAAATGAGGAGAAAAAAGTGAGAAAGGGAGGATGGGGAGAGCTTGGTGGAATGGGATGGTTGGGATGGAAGCAGGGTGGATATGGGAGTAGGGAAGTATATATCTTAATTAAGGGAGCCATTTTAGGGTCTGCAAGAGACTTGACTCTAGAGGTGTTCCCAGGTGTCCATGGAGATGTTTCCACCTAGATCCTTGGGCAGCTGAGGATAGGGAACCTGAAATGGCCCTATCCTATAGCCATACTGATGAATATCTTGCATATCACCATAGAAACTTCATCTGGCGATGGATGAAGCTAGAGACAGAGTCCCACATTGGAACACTGGACTGAGCTCCTAAGGTCCAAATGAGGAGCAGAAGGAGGGAGAACATGAGAACTGTTAGGACCGTGAGGGGTGCGCCCACCCACTGAGACATTGGTGCTGATCTAATGGGAGCTCACCAAGACCAGCTGGATGATGGAGCATGTGATCAAACCGGACTCCCTGAACTTGGCTGACAAGGAGGGCTGACTGAGAAGCCAAGGACAATGGCACTGGGTTTTGATCCTACTGTATGTAATGACTTTGTGGGAGCCTAGTCTGTTTGGATGCTCACCTTCCTAGTCCTGGATGGAGGTGGGGGACCTTGGACTTCCCACAGTGCAGGGAACCCCGACTGCTCTTTGGACTGGAGAGGGAGGAGAAGGAGTATGGGGGGTAGGAGGGAAATGGGAGGAGGGGGGGAGGTGGAAATTTTTAATTAAATAATAATAATAAAAAGATATTATAGCCAGCTGGTCACTCTGTCCACAGTCAGTAAAGAGATAGGATTGTCTTTGTTTTGCTTATTTCTCCTTCCCATTCAGTTCAGAAAATAAGTTCATGAAATACTTCAACCTAGATCTATGGTGTGTCTTTCCACCTCTAATCAATCTATTTAGAAACTACTGGACAACATGACCAGGAGATTGTCTCCTAAGTGATTACCAACCTACTCAAACTGATATTATAAACCCTCATGAATGAAGTTTTACTCACATGAAAAAGTGTGCTCATGGTGAGACTCTTCTGTTTTTTATGCTGCCTGTGCTTTTTATGTTGATGTACAGAAGTCATCACAACATGTGGGATTATGAAATTTTGGCAGCATATTTTCTTATAAATAATTTAATTTTAAATCTTTACACTGGGCATTTTACCCACTTTGAAAAATATGCAGTGTCTTTTTCTTACATGTCTGCATTCAGTTTTCCCAGCTGAAGAAATTGCCCAACCTTCATGACATGTGGTCTTGGAAACTTCTTCAAACATTCCTTAACCCTTCACCTAAGATCTTGTTTCTGGGCTATCTGTGTTATACCATTTCTCTGATTTCCTGCCCTTATTTCCACGCTACACTGTTTTGCTTATAGATTTCTGACAATTTTTGAAACATAGAAGTGATAATAATCGAGTTTTGTTATGTTTCAAGATGGCCTGGCATATTCATAGTCCTTAGACATTATGTATGGATATTGAAATTAACAAAATTAGCGGCATCTCTATAATGTGATAGGGATAGCAATGACTGTATAGATGTATTTGGAATGTACTGACACCATAACAGTAGTAAGTTTTCTGACAGATTTACAAAACCTATGCTTCCAGAAAGTCATATCTCATTCATTTCTTTAAGCACAATTTTGTGGATTTCTTCTACAAAATTTTTAGAACTTTGGTTGCTTCTTTAGTATTTACTGTTTTTGTGTTTGGTATATGTGTGTGTAGGTGTATATATGTATTAGGCCCACAAGTGTGCAAGGCCACGTGCAACTGTGCTTTCTTGACTCTGAGCGCAATATAGCAACCAGCATGCCTAAGCTATGAACTAAAGATGATTTTGTTTATTCATACACCAACTATTTTATCAATGTTAGTCAGTCTTCGGTGTACTTACTTTGAGGCCTTTCATTATGAAAATAGAGCAATCAGTCTTTCAGTATTTTATTCTTTTTTGGTATATTGACTTCTTAAGTTTTTCATTATATCGTTAAAAACTGGAATAGCATATTAAACTGCGGTGGATAAATGTCACTGGTAGAGTACTCAGTAGCCCATGAGAGGCCCTAGGTCTGACCCTAGCATACAAGAATTAAAGTAATTCTTCTAAGAAATATTTGAAGAAATTTATTGAAGAAAGACTTTATAAAAAAGGTTAAAATGAAGTTCTATAAATTGGAATGGAACATACTCTTCTTAAAACAGTAATATAAAATAATTTTATTGTACTTTGCAAATCTATTCAATTGAACTGATCTTTACCTTCCACCCTTTAATAGACATAAGTGAAAATTAACCCTTACATGTGGTGAACTAGTTGTCTCTGCTGTGGACAAGTTTAAATTGCTCTAGAGTTTTATAAGGCATCTGTAGGTTTGCTTCTGTGAGATCCAATTTGTACTATAAATGTTAACTGCATACACTTGGGTGTTTCATCTTCATGGTTGCATAAGTTTTTCAATATTTACATAAACAACACTCTAGTAAAAGCTTTATAAGAACATTTAATGGTGAAGATCAGGATATATGGATGAGTATATAAATGTTATATATGAGTATAATAACAAAATTTTGATGAAGAAATTTATAATGGTCATGTATATATGTAGATAAAATATGGTTAGGATACACCATATCATTCCTTCTTAGAGTTTCCTGTGATGCTCAGCTTTTAATGCAAGGATTAACACATATTAAGCGAAAACTTAATATTTCCTGTTTTTTTTTTTTTTCTTACATAGTTTGCTTAATTAACCATGCTGGCATTGGCCTACTGAGGTTTTTTTTTTTTTTCCATCAAGCAAGGTTGCACATATGTTTTGATGATTATTCTATAGACCAATCATTTATCCTGATTATTTTGAAGTAATTTAGTGGCTTTCTTTACAACTGAAGGACCTAAGAGAGACCTTGTTATCTCCATATTGATCAAGTGAAAAAAAAGAAAAAGTGAAAAGTGCACAATCTCATATTTCTTTTGTCTTGTTCAGTCCTAAGACACCTCACTTCAATAAATACTGGCAAATGTCTACCCTACAGAACAGTGCAGTCATCTCTGCCTGATGTCATAGGCATCTATATGAACCGTGTGCATTTGTATTTCTGTTTATGATGCTTCATTGATATAGGAAGTTGAATCATTCACCTCTAGACAGAGGTTTTTTTTTCTATATTCACAGGTTTCTACTGTCCTACCATACACTGTATATGACCTCTATTTAGAATGAAAAATCTTGCCACAGTTACTGCAATTTTGAATATTTCAGGTGAATAATTTTAAATGGTGCTTGGCTATAAACATTTTATTACTCACATCGATTCACAGAAGAGAAAAAAATGAGCTCTTCAGGAGGTAGGTGAAAATAATATCTGCAAAATCCATTTTTATCATACATTGTTTATTTTTGCAGAGAAATTCCATATGGGAATCCCATATAAAATCAACCACAATGAAATAATTTGTCTTTGGATCTTCCTTTGTGTTAAATTTTTCTTTCTGTCAGATAACTTAAGTATTTTAACATATCCACAGAGATTTTCAGTCCTCAATATTTCAAAAAAATTTTCCAAAAATGAAAAAAGGAAACTATAGAAAGAGGTTTCCACTGCCTACCCTTTACTATCTGAAGACTTCTTTCTATTTAGCGTCTCAATAACCACTCACTCTATTCCTTGACCTAGCTGTCCTTGCTTTATTTGAACTCAAAAAATACATTGTCTTTATTTCCATATAAGACCATCTATATCACTGAAAATACAATTAATACACAGTCACTGTAGGTGTTAAGGATAATGTGAAATGAAAAAAAAAGGAAGGTAAATATTTGTAATGCTCTACGGGAAAGTTAAGATTTAAATGATAATATGATTTTCAGAACCTCTTCGTGATTCTTTGAAGGGGAAAAGCTCCTATATACTCACTGTCTGTCTTTGGGCCTTGTCATTTAAAGCTTGTTATTGGCACCCTTTCTTCCCAGATTGTTTTTTTCTTGAATTACTAGGCCCTTAAAACATTCATTTTTTCCATTTTTAATTTTGCAGATGAACTAAAATTCTTATTGCAAAAATTATCATGCTTGAGAAATAAAAATTCTACAATTTCACTAAGCATTCGATCACCAATTAAGCTTATTGATCACATTGACAGTTGTAGGGTTGTGTTGCTTCCCAATTGAAAAAAAATACAGAAAAGAATAGAATCAGTCATTTGAATTACACTTTCCAAGAAACAAGTTTAAAATGAAACACCCCTAGATAGAGTTGAAACTAGCATCCTACTGTTACTTCAGTTGATCACTTGAGGAACTATTTTAGATTATGAGAATAAGAAATGTAGGTATGTAATAAATAGAGAGAAATGAGTAAATTGTTTCATGTCATTATTTTTAAATAAAAAAATTGAATATAAAATGGTGGAAATGACAAAGAATGAAAAAAAGTAAACTAACACAATATTAAACCAAATTTAGAAGACTCAAATTTCCTTTTATGATACAAAAAAAGGCTAAGCTTCATAATTATTTCAAGGGTTTCTGACTGCTCAAATACTGAAAAAAATAGAATATTGTCTAGGAAAAAAAGAGGTAAATTCTACAGATAAAATATTATCCCTAAACCAAAACTCTTTCTGTGCCCAGAATTAGAACTAAAAGACAATTGGCTAGTCAAATGTTCCTACTGCTTAGGGTCTTCCTAAGGGCAACTTTAATATCTTTGTTCCTAAAGCTGTAGATTAAGGGATTCAACATGGGAACAACATGGGTATAAAAGACAGAAGAGATTTTTCCTTCATTCAATGATCCAGATGAGGAGGGGTTGAAATACGAAAGTGCACATGAACCAAAGAAGAGAAAAACAGCAATAATGTGGGCACTACAGGTGCTGAAGGCTTTGGATCTTCCCTCAGAGGAGGTGATGCGCAAGATACTGGAGAGGATGGAAGCATAGGAGAAAAAGATAGTTGAAGTAGGAACAACAAGGTTGATGCCCGCAACAACAAATATTACAACTTCGTTGACATATGTGCTCGTGCAGGAGAGCTGGAGCAAAGGAGGAATATCACAGAAATAGTGGTTGATGGTGTTGGCATCACAGAAGGTCAGTCTCAGCATGCATGCAGTGTGAGCCACAGCACTAGAAAATGAGATAAAGTAGGAACCAAACATAAGGCTCAAACATAGTTTAGGAGACATGACACTATTATACAACAATGGATTGCAGATGGCCATGTAACGATCATAGGCCATTGAAGTCAACACATAGAACTCAGAAACAACAAAGAAGCAAAAGAAATAGACTTGGGACATACATTCAATATAAGAAATGGAATTTTTCATTAATATAAAGTTCATCAGCATTTGGGGAGTGAACACAGAACAATAGCATATATCTACAAAGGACAAGTTAAAGAGAAAAAAGTACATAGGCGTGTGGAGGTGAGAATTCAGCACAGTCAGAATTATCAAACACAAATTTCCCAATGCAGTGACCAGGTACATTGCTAGGAACAGAAAAAACAAGGGCATTTGGAGTTCAGGCTTTTCTGTTAATCCTATCAGAATGAATTCAGTCACCAAAGAAACATTTACTGCATCCATTCTTCCTGAAGACAATCTGTGAACAAGAAATAGAGGTGCCTTAGAGGATGATCCATACTCAGACATGGATCCTTCCCCCCTATGAGTTGTATGTTGGAATGTTTCTTCTAGTGCATACTAATCATATAGAATCACCTTCTGCAGCCACAAAAAATAATTCAAGTCAGAAATCCAGTCGTACCAATTTTAGTATTATTGAAAAATGAGAAGACTACACTAAGACGGGTTCAACCTTTTCCCATATCCTGTTTTCTTTGATTACAACATTAAAATTGATAGCATATGCCTGGACAGTACAGTGCTGACTGCTGCTACAGATTCACCTTTGCTGTGGTATGAATGGAAAACATGTGCCTAATTTAAAATTAAAAGAACAACGACAGGACAGAGAGAATGTGTGGCCTGTTCTCATGTCAAAAAGTCATTAATCTGGAAGACTTAAGTTGTACCATGTAGAACTGCTATGGAGATGCTGCAGCTCACTGGCAATATATGCCTCTTAACACTATCTGATTCTCCTTCATTCTTTTCTGTTGGTTTCACTTGTGTCTCATTTGGCGCAGGAAAAGGGAGATACTTGCTGAAGCCCATCATAAAAAGAGTATGGAGTCAGAAAGTAGAGGAGGTATAGAGGATTTATGAGGAATTGAGTGACAGAAAACTGTAATCAGAATATATTATATGAAACATCTATTTTCAACAAAATAAAAATTAAAACAAATATTCAATAAAGAGAGGGGGTGTCTGTTACTATACCTTAAATTTAGAAACTTACGATTTTTTATTCCAAACCTCAGAGCTCTCTTACTTTCCCATTTATTTCAGTTCATGTGTATAAATAATTCATATTCAAAGGTTCCATATATTTCAATTTAAAGAAGATATACACAGACTTAATTTTCCTGGACCAATTTCTGAAATACAGAACATTATTTCTGATTAAGGCTTTGATGTTTTCTGGGAGCAGAGAAAAGGCACTTTAACCTCAGGATGTATGTGCTTATGAGAAGGGCAGAAGAATGTTCTGGCTCTTCCTCAGAAGATAACATTTAAATCAAAGAAGGAGCTGAGGAAGATGTATTACATTTTGGATCATTATTATAATTTCCTGAGGGACCCAAAATTATTCTTATCCTTTCCATTCACTCTAGAGAAAGTGCATCCTCCCGTGTGGATAGAGAGACAGATTTTTACCTCCCCAATTATCTTGAGATCTGTAGGGAAATCTGAGTTTGGAGTTTCTCTACTCTTGATACCTGCAGTTAAGAAATTGTCCCCAGGTCCTGCTCTGTGTCTGTAAGTTGTAGAGTATAGTACAAATCACTAACAGTGCTTTGCAAACAGAATCCTCACAGATGCTACTTTAAAATTGTGTTCCTGAACAAAACCATTATGAGGAGACATGTTAACATGGGGGGAAGTCTTAATGAGACATCAAGAAACAATGAAGGACTGAAGACAGCCCAAGAATACTGAGAGTGTTACAAATATTCTGTTTTATAGAAGAAACATTCATCAATTGACTATCAAGTATCAAATTGTAGCTGTGAACTCATGTAAAGAAGTAAAATTATATGGACAGAGAGATTGTATTTAATTTATTTAACAACATGTGTAAATATATATAGCACCAATTAAGGAAATATAAACTCTAAATTTTAGAGAGAGCATAGTGGTGTGCACTGGAAGGGCTGGAGTCAGCAAAAGTAAAGCAGAAATTTTATGTAATTATATTTTAATTTTAAAAGATAAAAATATTAAATAAGAACTCACAGAGATCTGCCTGCCTCTGCCTCCCGAGTGCTTGGATTAAAGGCCTGCGCCAACAATTCCCCGGCTGAGTTCCCTTTCTTTACTCCAAGTAATACCCTGTTCACTAACTACCTCTCTCAAAATTACTTAAGTTTGTGGCCTCTTTTAATTTTATTTTTATTGACATATATATGCAAAAATATGAAAATCAATCCAGTCTCTGTGAAACAAACACCATGTTTTCTTTCTTGTTTTTATTAGATTTTAAATACATACATCCAATTTTATACATAAATATGATATGAATGTAGGGGAACAAAGAATCTAATATGAGCAGGTAAGGAGGAAATATGATCTTCTTGTTACAAGTTTTTATATGAAAATCTTCTTATTTCACATAATAATATTTACAATATATATACAATGCCAATTTTAAAATTAATAATATATACTGAGATCATATTGATAATATATATTGACTTGTATCTCAAACATCATATATAATAAAATATATTGAGATATATTTAGCATCATTACACATAATTATATATAATATTCATATATAAGAACTTCATATGTTCTTATCAAATGTAAAACATCTAAGATATTCAAAATAATTTTTTCAACATTTTAAAAATGTAGAGATTGGCAAAATGATTGTATTCTAATAGGAAAACTGCAGACAGACATTATACACTTGGGCACAAATACAAGCAGGATGTCTTACAAATTTATATAGCTCATACTGTTCAGTATTTTTTCTTAAACAACCAATCTCTCTGCAGTAAACCCAATCAGACCTAATCAGACTGAATTAGAAGACGCCCATATTTAATGGCTGCCAGTACTCCCTTTTGGCCTCTTAGGAAAACAGGGAGAGGGGAACAGAGAACCAAAAGATCATCCAAAACCTAGGGACCACGAGTTCATTCTCGGGGGGAGGGACAGTTTAAAAACCTGTGGGAATGGTCTTGACCCTCTCTGGGGAGGAAATCACCATTTTGGGGGACTTTCTCAGAGGTGGAATTTGAACTGAGGCAACTCCCAAGGGAGGGAGCTTTGAAATGGAACTTTGCACCCAACATTCAAGAAATGGATGCCAGGGGGCTGGGATGAAACCCCTAACTAAACACATACCATAAAATAAAATGTACATTAATTCAGATACACAGTCTTGCTTGTTCTAAACTGAAGGACATTCTATTTTGATTCTGCAGAATCCAGGACACTGTGACACTTAAACTTGGCCTTTCTACTGAAAGGTAGATTATACACAACAAGGATGAAATAGATTGACAGAGGCTTTGTCTAGTTTATCAATTATTCAGACTTCTTCAAAGAACTTTTGTGTGTTTTGTTGTTGTTGTTTGCTTGTTTGTTTGTTTGTTGATTTGGCTTTTTTTTTAAAAAATAAAAATTGCTCACTGCCTATTGGTTTGACTCTTAAGCTTCAGTTCATACAACCAAGACTGGAATAAAGTTTAAAGGATTTATATATTGGACTCCATTCATTTTAAAGAGTATCTAAATGTAACCCCATGTGTATACACATTTGGGTAAAGAATTTTTAGCAAAACCTTAATCATTTGTAGTTTATTTAGACGTTCAGAAAACTGCATTAGTATTTTAAAAGTACTGTTTTCAAAATGTGTACTCTTCTGGTCCAACTATAACTACACCCCTGTGAAGGCTACTGTTCCTAGATTGTATACCAGTAACCCGGAGTACAGCTAAGCTAGTATTTGTACCTTTGGGTGGCTGTCAATAGTGGTGGGTTTCCTGTCCTATGCATTAAAGGTCAGGTTTGCTGGACCTTCAGAATTCTCAGTCAACTACTTCCACCATTCTCAGTGGAGGTGTGTCTGCTCTAGTAGAGAGGAAAGATGTTATAGTTTTTCTTTTGTTTTCATTGTCTTCTACAGTAACTTAAAGTGAGAAGTTTGTGACATTATCTTCTTTGCCTGCTTTTTTTTTTCCTCTGTATAAATTACTAAGGCCTATTCACCCTAAGAGTTTCAAAATAATTGTCTTTCATTAGCACTTTATTCACATTGACAAATATGCATAAACAGAATCTGTAGTGTAGCCAGATGAGTTTACAAAAACTTTAGCATTTCTACAATTTCTCCTCCTCTGTATCATATATGCTATTTAAGTATAATGTTGATAAAAATCCATGGCTGTTTTAATATGCTTTAATTAAGAACATTCATATATCTGGTCAAATAATGGGAAATAGTTCTTTAAATCCACACTACATTTGCATTTCTCCATTGTTCATGAATGAGATTTCTATTTTGCATTGGTATTGTGTTTTTGAAAGTGAAATTCTGTACATCTTTCACTGGAGAACAAATGTCACCTTTATTTGCTAATGTGACAGATATTCCAGGTTTTTAAAAACCTATCACATATAACTCATTTTGCAGCCTTTAATTTATTATGTTTCTTTTGGACAAGTTTTAACATATCTAGATGCAATTATACCAGCATAAATTGCACTGTTACTGTCTGTTTACTGTTTGTGCAGGATACAAGTGTGACGAGAAATTAAAGATTCCAAATAAGAAATAAAGATACTAAGTGATCTAAAGACTTCCAATGTTCATGGATTTGCAATATTAGTATTGTGAAAGTGGTCATCATACCAAAGCAAATCTAAAGATGCAATGAAATCCCTGTCAAAATCCCATTGCAATTCTTCATAGAAGTGGAAATCTCATAAGTACTCCTCCTATACACAAACATAAAATAACTCAAATGAATGTTGGCTTGGGTTTTGGATAAAATTTATAATAATTTCTCAAATGGTCTTGAAGAAAACTTGCCAAATTTATGTAATTTACACATAGTCTATTGTTATAAAATAAAAGTGTTTATAAATTCTAAAGAGTTAAAGATTTTCTTGCCTGGGACAGTAAACATTCACCTAAGATATGCACTGTTATGGGATAATAAATAAACATACCTTTGTCACAAATATGCAAATATGTGTGTTTTGCCCTTGAAGAAACTGAGAATAAATAATCTATATTTGAGAAAACTGCTTTAGAAGCTCAGTGGTTAATGCCCTTGCTACAAGAGTGTTAGGACCTGAGTTAAGATTAAACGAATGTGCAAGCTCAACTCTGTAATCCAGTAAGACAACAAGAGCAAAACAAACCAATTTTCTTTTCATCACATCTGCTATTTGAAACTCCAATTATTTAAGGGTTTTATTCCATAATGAATTCAGAGTACACCAGGAA